GTGCGACCGGCCGGGATAGAGCAAGGGACAGGAGGCTGCGGCTGCGAAAGGCGTACGCCTTGAGAGCACAGTGCCTGTTCACCCTAGTCTGGGAACGGTGACGCATCCCTAGTCCCTGTAAACCCGCCGAGCTAAGGGTGGCAGAAGACATCGCAAGCGAAACCGGTGAGGAAGACACCACTTCGCAGCCGGCACGATCCAGCGAGGCGTTCAACGTGGGAAAGAGACGACGGCAGGACGTAATTCTACATAATCATTACACCACCCCGGCCGAGGGTCAAGTCGGCGAATAAAAGATCACTGTATACTCCCAATCTTCTGTGCGTTTTCACTGATCACCAGGGCGGTGACGTATATATAAATTTGGTGGGACGAACACTCACATCTTCTGAGCTAGCCGCACGACATTCGTAGCTAGCAGAGAACAAAGAAAAACAGTTCGTTACAACACTTTTCCTCTTAATTGTTAATGCGATTAAATAATTATACATGTATGGGCATTTCCAGAAAATGGTCTACCACGTCAAACAAATTTAAAGTTGATAAATATATTTTAATTGCAGAGGGTACTTTAATTTCAGTCAGAAATGCAATGAAGGAGACTTTTCCGATTTTATAAAGTATATATAGAAAGCCGCTTTCAAATAGGCAATGCATTTAACTTTCACTCACTACAGAAGCTTTAACAACAAAAGCTGCATCTAAGCTCAAGAACCAGAAGTGTATGGCAAACGTCAAAAATTGCAAGGCCCCTGATCTGAGCCTAAGATAAGTTTTCGCCGTTCAGCCGCTGTACCCAGAGATAGCTGATGAGACTGCGTGACATGCAGACGAAACTAGCGCTAGTCCTATCTGAGTCCGGGGCTCACTCCCTAGGGAGTGCTCGTGTGATGGAAGTTATCAGAAAGTTGTATTCTAAAGATTTATAACCAACTATGACCCGAGTTTTTCACTTCGATTTATGTAAAGAAAAATAGAAGGTCACTAAAACCAACAACAATAAAGTTGATCAGCATCACTAGTAGAGTCGATCTTAGTTAGTCTGTCCGTCCGTCCGTGTCTACGCAAACTTGTCTCTCTCTTCCTATAGCAGCTAAAGTCGGAACGAGCCGGATCGGACGACTACAACGTATAGCTCCCATAGGAACAATCAGGGAAAAAAATTATACGACCTGTTCCAGTTTTCACTTCCGAAAGATTTACACGGATTCAAATTTCCCAGACCTGTTTCAATTTTCACTTCTAAAAGATTTGCACGGAATCAAAGTTCCCTCTGCTAATTCTTTGTTAGCTTCCGCAAAAAACTCACGGAAACTGTTCGCCAAGCATTTGGCATTCAGATCCGCAAGAACAGAAATTAATTCTTTTAAAACACTTTGCTATGACTTAAAGTGCAAATGAAATGTGTACCTTATTCTTTGATGTTCTAAGAACATTGTTGCATAACAGATTTGGTTAATAAGAGGTGATTTTTTAGCCAGTTTCTTTTTGGCAGCCCAAGTTTCTACAATTAACGCTAGTTTTTGTCTTGTGACCCTGGTTAATAATTTCAGCTAGGCTTATAATTTAACCATGAATCGTTTAGCAAACCAAAAAAGGTTGCAAATTATTGAATTTTACTATCAAAATGAGTGCTCGGTTAAGAAGGTTCACAGCGCGCTTCTTCCATTTTATGGACAGTTTCGTCGACCTTCTCTGTCGGCTATTCCGGGTGTTATGATGAAATTTCGCACCAAATTTACCCAATTAAGCCATCAACACGTTCATGCAATGTGCGAAAAAAAGAAAACATCGCAGCTGTAGCGGCTAGTGTCCAAGAAGACCGTGTATTATCAATTCGGCGCCGTTCGCAGCAGAAATGTTGGAAAGAGTATACCAAAATTGGACTAGGCGGATGGAGCATTGAAGGCGAAGTCGCGGCCAACATTTAAATGAAATTATCTTTAAACATTAAATTATATTGACCATACTATCGATTCAAATCAAGATTTCATTAATTTTTCTGAATTTTATGTGTAAAATACACACATAAAGTTTAAAAGCTCTTAACCAATTACCCCTTAGTAACATATTTAACTTTTTTCGCCCGGGGGCTTGTGAAATGTGACAGATCTTGCAAGTGAAAAAATTAGCATTGCATTTTAAATTTCGGTTATTGCGTTTAATGTCCAACAGTTGTTATCTTCTCAACACGTTATTTGCCAAATGTTGTTAAAATCAAACCAACAATCTTTGAATTTCGGGCAACACAGCTGATTTCCACACGAGTTGTTCAACACTTTTGTTAATCAGTTTCCATCACTGCCTTTAAAATAAGGAAATTTTGTTACTTTTGGCTACCAATGATTTTTTGACTGATTTTGGACATTAAATGAGTGCACCAATAATGCACATAGATTAGGAACAGCAGCGGGCCAAATGTTGATCAGAGATTTGCCTGGAAAACTTAGGCAAATCAAAGTTTTGTTAATATACCGAATGCGACTTGGTACACAGATGAAAAAACTAATATCTTACTTATTGGAGCAGCATTACTTTATTGACGACTGGCTTGACATTGCGCTATCTTAAGTGAACCAGAATTCAGAATTCTTTGGGTAGTTTACTGGATTTGTGTTTTGTTTCAAATCCGAAAAGCGTCTGTTTTTTAAGAATGTCACCACTTACGCAACCTGAGGATCCATATCACCCAACTTTAGAGCAGGATGCAGGATCAGGGCTTAAAGAAAAATCTGAAAAGTAAGTTAAACGAATCCACTGCTTTCGCAAAACTAACTTTGACCGCCTAAACATATGTATATCTGGCTTTAACTGGTCCGAACTTTATCTATGCACTAACATGGCTGAGGCCTTTAAAATCCTTCTGATATTAGTGTGTTCCGTTATATTATCCGTCGAACTCCAATAAAACTACATAGTTTAATAAAGAGTTATCTCGCCTAAATAATGTTTAGTCCAGACTTTATATCAATATAAAATATGTGGATCACAAGCTGCCTTTTCCAGATACATAAGTGCTCGTTCTAATTATACACTGATACACTGATACTTTCTTTTTCTTACCGTATTATTAATTCATTTCAATATTTTCAAAATGTCTTTCTGTATGTATATATATATATACATATATGTATGTTTTCATTGATAAATTCATAAAACCCAACAGCGATAAAAACAATCTGTTGACAATGGAGGTATATTTTGGTAATATTGGTGTTTAATGCTATCTTCAACATCGTCTTCAGTAATGATGATAATAATGACGTTGTCACTCGTCGTTGTTTTATCAGGGATCACATCATCGTTGCCTACTGAGGTCATTTCTTTGTTATCGGTCGTTATTGGTTCAGCAGAAGTCACATCATCGTTATCGAGGTATTGTTTTCTGTAGTGTAGTTGTTGGATTAGCAGGGGTCACTGCATCGCTGATATTGTAAATATTGTTTTATGTAGTTGTATTTAGACTCATGCTATTTATGATATTAGCTTAATATAGAGACAAGCACAATATAAAAAATATGAAATTCATTTGTTTTATTTGATTATTTGTTATGTTCAAATTTTCAATATGTTTTAATCGCATTTGAATATTTAAAATTTATTTTTTTTGTCAGGTTCCGAATTTTTATGTATTCATGTGAGTTGAGAAGGTTAATCTTAACTTGCTTTTTATTATTATTATGTAAAGCAAGTATGAAAAGATACAAAATGTTTGACTTTGTCTTCTTTTTTACTACGGCGCAACTTTTTCTATACTGCTTCTGCTGAATTCCCCCTTCTAGAACTGCCCATTCTTCGATCATCAAAATAATCCATATCGCTTTCTATACTTTTCTGCTGCTGCTTTACTGCTCTACTGCTTTCTGCTGATGGACTGCTTATGCTGCTGCTTCTCTGCTGATATTCCGCTGATGTTACTTCACAATCTTACATTCGGCCATTCCTGATTAATCATCTGTCTCAGATGAGCAAGCATCCTCGTTAACCTTCACGTAACGCCACATCTTCATGTGATCACAACTGGTTGAAGTGTTAGATGGGCCTTCTACATCAGCTGCCTTCCGAACATCGTATCGCCCATATCTTTTCACTTTAGAAACTTCATACGGCCCAAGTATTCTCCAGCCAGTTTCTTTCCTGCGATGAACTGTGTCCCGCGTATAGGAACTAAGTCTCCAACTTGATACATTACTTCTGGTTTCTGCTTCAGATCAAAATTATTCTTGTATGAATCCTGTGCCCGCTGAATATAGGCCTTTGCCTCTTGCCTGAGTTGCTTCCGGTTCTCATCAAAGTATAAATATAACTCCTCCTCTAAAAGCTGTATAATACGATCGCTGGGCTTATTGTTCATCTTCACGCCAAACATTAACTCGAATGGTGACTTCTTTGTTGATGCATACACGTGAGAATTTACTGCTCGCTGCGCCAGTGGTACTTCCTTAAACCACTTTGCAGAATCCTCTACCGAAATCTTGGATATTATCGATAAAATTGTACGATTTACCCTTTCTATCTGCCCATGTCCTCTGAAAACTCCGGTTCTGCTCCAAACATGATCCATACCGCATTCCTTCATGTGCTCTGCAAACAAGTTGGCTGTGAAGGCGGAGCCTCTGTCGGAAACAATACGCACTGGGTTGCCAAAAATTTCGGACCAAATTTCGAACTTTTTCAGTATTCCTCGCAGCTTGTGGTCTTTGTAGGAAAAAGCCATATAAACTTTGTGAATGAGTCAACCATTGCAAATATGTGTTTATATTGCTTTCCAGTCGCATCCATGGGACCCAAATGATCACCTTTGTCAATAAAGTTTAAAAGTCCTTCTCTTTTGCCGAGTTTATTGTTAAAAATTATGATCTTACGCAGTTGCATAAAACCTGCTGAACCTTTTGCTCCAGATGAGGAATCCAATAGGATTGTTGAGCAGCATGTACAGTTTTTTGAAGAGAAAAGTGACCTGAGTTGTGGGCGTCTACAATAACATCTTTTCCCATGACTTATGGGACTACAAATAGGTCATTGCCGTTTATATCCTTATAGACAAGTCCACCTTTCATCTTGTATCCCTCATAAGGACGGGTGGCGAGAATTTCCATTATTGCCTTCAGCATTTCGTCTTTACCTTGAACATTTTTAAGTCGAGCTGTGATTTCTAAAGACTCCAGCATAACACGATTGGGATAACGACTATGACAGTCAATGTGCTTAAGTCGTTCGCCTGGATGGTGTTCAACTGTAAACTCAAAGTCCTGCATATAAATGATCCACTGTAGGGTTTTCTTGAACGCGACGCAATTTGTTATCACCCTAAACGGCGATCCCAGCAAATAGTGTCTGAATTTCTTTACCGCTAGATATACAGCTTTTGCTTCTAGGATGTATCAGTGCTGGCGAGACTCAGCTTCGGTTGTCTTTTTGCTCCAATACTAGATTGGTCTGCCATCCGACCACTGCATTAACACTGCTGCAAATCCGTCTTTTGATGCATCCGTGTGTAACTCAGTTTTTGCTCCTCTGATATACAATTTCAAAACCGGTTCCTTTGTCAGCGCATCCTTCAAACTCTGAAATGCATTCATCTGAGGCTCAGCCATTTGAAAACGAACATTTTTTCGCAGTAGGTCGAGCAATCTGGGAATAGTTCAACACAAATTTCCTGAAAAATCCAGTCAACCCCAGGAAAGCTTGGACTGCGCTGACATTCTTCGGCACCGAAAATTTGCTGACTGCTGCCGTCTTCTCTTGCCAAGGCCATAGGTTTCCGTTCTCAATGTTGTGGCCCAAGAAGTAAATCCTTTCCTGCAAGAAGTGACATTTTCGCCATTTGATCTTTAAGACAAACGCTCCAGCGAATAAAAACAACCGGCGAGTTCCGAAATCCAAAAGGGGTTCGATTGAATTCGTAGAGTACTGATTTGGTGATAAATGCTGTGTATTTCTTGCTGTCTTCTTCTATGCCAACATGGAAGAAGCCATTCTCCAAGTCCATCACTGTAAAATATCTCGTTTCTTGCAGCTTTTCCAGCACGACGTCGATTACCGGAACCGGAAAGCAGTCCCTCAGCACCATCGAATTCAAATTATGAAAATCAACGCGTGCCATCCTTTTTGGTTACCAGCACCAGACGACTAGAAAAGTCGTATAACTCGTATAATTCCAGCAGCTAACCATTCGTCGATCTGTTTCTCGACATCCTTTTCTTCGGCAATGGCGAATCGACTCGGGGACTGACGAAATGGGATGATCTCGCCGTCTGGATCGATTCGCAGCTTAACTGGAACCTCTGCTACCAAATCCTTTGCGTACTGGGAAGGAACATTGATTTCATCATTTGTATTAATTATATTGTAAATACTCATCTGATTTGGTTCCTCACAAGCTTTCTCCCCTTGCAGCGAAGAAAACTTGCATCCTTCCGCAGACAATGACAGGTTGAACTTAGAGACGAAATCATATCCAAGCAGCGCATCATTCAATGTCTTCATCGTCTATGATAACGAAGCTATGTGAAGTCGTCACTTCGTCTACCGCGACATCAGCAAAAAAACGTCCAACTGAGCATGTGATCTTCTTTCCCAGACCACGCAGCTTCGATTCACTTTTCTCCAAGATAACATTAGGAATTTTGTTGAAGATGAACTTTCTCAATACGGATACATCGGCTCCGGAATCTACCAGGCATTTCACTTCGACGCCGTTAAGGGTGACCTTCTTTATGCGATTCGCACTGCGCACAACTTGGACACCAGCAGCTAATCCAGGGCAATTTTTCGACTTATAACCCTGTTTGTTGCATCTAAAACATTTTGTGGCCTTGCAATCCTTGCAAAAATGATCGGCAGATCCACAGTTAAAGCAATGACTCTTTTTGTCGTTAAATTCGTGCTGCTCCTTCTGGTTTGGGGTCCAAACACAAGATCCGCACTGCACACGTATTGACGACTAAACTCCGTCTCCAGCAAAAGGCGCATCTCGGTGTATTGGTGTACGTGAGTAGAATCCAAAAACAATTTTGCTGTATTCGTCATCTTGGCACGAGCCTGTACATACATTGCTTTATGTTCAGACCGTAAGCTTAAGCATTCAGCTCAAAATTGTCAAACAAATGCTTGTCCGGTATGGATTAACCGTCAAACTCAGGAATGATTTTTGCAAAGCTTTCCCCAGTTATTGAGCTACTGGTGTTGTTCTGCTCATCGATTCCCATTTTTAAGGCGAGGAGCTGGCGATCTCTCGGCGATCGAAAAGCTTTCAACTGCCATAGCTCCGAAGTTCTGACCACCACTCGCTTTTTCAAGTTTCTGCTTCTCATTGTTCGGATCAGTCATTCTTAGATTTTTTACTGCTGCGGCAACTGACCTTGTGCAGTACGGCTGTCTCCCTTTTAAAACTGGTATCTTAGAAGGCTCCTGCTTTCTTGCCCTCTCACTCATCGGCGTTCGTAACCTCGGGAGGGCGTATTCATTTGCACTTGCCCCCAAATGTGAGTTGAGAAGGTTAATCTCAACTTGCTTTTTATTATTATTATGTAAAGTAAGTACGTAAGTAAGTCACTTTTTCTCGCTGCTTCTGCTGAATTCCTCCTTCTAGAACTCACTATTCTTCCATCATCAAAATAATCCATAACGCGTTCTATACATTTCTGCTGCTTTTCTGCTCTACTTCTTTCTGCTGATGTACTGCTTATCCTGTTGCTTCTCTGCTGATATTCCGCTTATGTTACTTCACAATCTTACATTTATGAGATTTAATATTTTTTGTTGAAAACGTCAAATTTGTATGTTTATTACTGAATATTCATATGTAAAAATTAGATATAATCATTGGATGTTATAGGTTTCAATGTTTCTCTGCGACTGATCTAATTGAAAGACTTGTCCTTTGCTTTCATCTAAATTGTTAAAGTCTCGTTCAAACATTAACATTTTCCCTTTCTAATTTCGATCATGTTGCACATTTCAATGATGACAATAAATTTTTAATTTTTTTATTTGTATATAAACTATAATAAATTCATTGAATGTCGACAACACTTTTCAATTATTTTAATCATGTATTCAATTATACTGCTACTACTACTACAACACAATTATTATTATTTTTATTTATATATATATGATTTATTTATTTATATATCTTACTTCTTCTGAGCTTGTTTAACAAATAGATTTACAAAATTGCGGTTATATGTACCAGAATATAGATTTTATATATATACATATGATCATTGTCTATTTTCTCTCTCTGACTCTCCCTCTCAAGTGATGCTTATACCTTTGTTGTGTTTAAATAGTTGACCATCTCTCTCACTCTCTATCTCTCACTCTTTCTCGTTCTCAAGTGATTGCCATTTGAAAAGTTAGTGTGCAGCTGTTGAAGTCTTCGTTGAGTATAATTTGTTGTAGAGTGTTGGGGTCTTTTCTGAATACTATTTTCTTAATCTCACCGTTTGCCATCACCCGTTCAATCATTGAAGTTTCAAAATATTTTAGACATTTTATATCCATAATTTCATAAATTCCAACCAACCCCTAAACATATCCTGGCTGGGAAAACATCCTTACAAATGGCGTCCAAGCATGGACTGATGTGGATCTGATCACGTTCGATCAGGACCAAAACTTCAGGCGTATTAAAGACCCGTTAAATAGTAAGAATCCCAATCGAGAACGGTTTTTGACGGGAACCACAAGAGGAGCACAGCGGACAATAGCGGAAAAAAAACAAGGGAAGAAGACTTCTTTAGGTTCGACGGACAGTCGGATAGGGACTTGCTGGACTTAAAGAAGGACGAATTACTCATTTTCGCAGGTGAATTCGGATTCGACGGCAAAGTAAAGGTGGACGAGATGAGAAGGCGTTTTGCAGAAATCGTCAAAGCAATTGAGCTCTCTCCAACTTAAAGGGTTCGATCACAAAGAGCCACGTTATCAGTATACCGACGAGAGTTTTTAGACTTTTTTACCCCTACATTACTTGCGTCGATTTGAAGATGAAATCAGAGCTCGTTACCAACGCGAGAGCTTTAAAGATTATGTTATCGAAATCTGAACGTTAATGCGACACGCCGGGTATGACCAGATGAAGGAGTTAGACAGTATTTACGAGAAAACCAGATTTACGTAAAACGTAGCGACTTTAAAACTTTAGGCCAGATTTAACGGTTTGATGTTGATTTCGAGAGCATACATCATCGCTACCGTATACGATTACAGTCTCAAGACCTCTCGTATCAGAACATCGGCCGAACTCATGAGAACACTTGACAGTCTCCGCGGTCACAAGCCCTGTCGAACCAAATCCGGGCGCGCAACCCCTTCCGAGGAAACTCGCAAACTCCATCACAACCATTTCCCAACATCATACCACGGGATGGAATCTCTAATAGGATGATGAACCAAGAGTCGCTACAGTCACCACCCGAAAGGCGGAGTTGTTTCAACTGCGGTGCGGAACCCCCGACGGTTGGTGTGTAGGGATTGTAGAAGAGAAGGGATCAGAAATGTTGATTGCATCATCGACCAATCCGTGAACAGTTGGGGACGAGAGTACCCGAGAACCGTGAATAGGCGCGTCCCAGTGCGTAGAAGATGGGAAGTTTGTATCAGAAGTATTAGCCACTGCCGTTAGCGGGGCCACGAAGAGTTTCATCAACGAGGACATATAGTAGAACTAGCGCTGCCAGTAATGAACTCGATTTTAGATAAAGTAATACTAGGACTCAACTTTCTATCTGCGATCGGCAATACGATACGATCTGGACAATCACGTCTCCACCTCCGGGAGACGGAGCCTAGAATCACCAGAACCAACGAGAACTACCACACAGGAAACCAGCCGGGCGTGGCAGACTTACAGGGTTTAAAACAAGTGTATAATTATTGTGTGTCACGCTAATAAAAAGCTAAATGAGCGACGAACGAAATAAAGAGCGTCGAAGCTCCATGATCCAAAGAGACGAGTACTTCTCGTAGATATCAACGCGCGATAGCGAAGTGCAAAAAACGTCTACTAAGGGTAACTCGGCTCTATTAGATAGTCAAAGAGCACGGTCGTGCTCACCCTCTCTATTTACTTTAAACCTTCTCCTACGGTGTGGAGTTCTCAGGGTAAGACCCTTACCAACAGATGTCACAACTGGCGCACCAACAGCGCAGCGGTAAAACGTCTGCAATTGCACCAAAAGTAACAGCAACATCTACAACAACGGCAGCCAAATTAAACAAAATGGAAAACAAATCCGGAATTTTTTTTCGCCACGGCTGCCAGATTTTCATTTGGTAAGCTTAATACCCAGAAGGGCTTCTCATACGCCAGTGCCCTTCGAACAGGAACGGAAAACCCACTCCACCCAAAACTAATCTAGGAAACTTTCAGCAGGTCCCAGGACAGTCACAAAGCACACTGGAATCAATAATGGTTACTGTTACAGCCGGCCATTAAAACGAAGCTTCTAACAGCATTTTATTTGAAACGATGGTTAATTTATTTATATTTAAAATATATTCTGGATTATAAAGAGCTTTAAAAAATCTTCTTCTCTTCTCGAGGCTCGTGCTGCAATTGGTTTTCGATAGTTTCCGCTCTTCCTCGATGCACATCGATTGATGTTAAAATGTATCGTTCTTTCCATCGATAATTTTATATAAAAGAATTAATAAGAATTAAATTTTAAATTGCTGTACTGGGGCGGTAACATTCCACCCTACGTAAACAGCTACAAGGGTTTACTTTGATTTCGGTAAAACGTCTAGTACAGCTATTTTTGTTGCTGGCCGGACCATAATTCCATGTTGAGTTTTTATTGTAGCAGATCGGACCTGACCATCTTTAGCTGTGGTTACTTCTGTAATACGTCCCTTGGGCCACAGGTTCCTTGGAAGATTTTCGTCTACTATGATTACGATGTCGCCAACGGCCAGCGGGGATCGTTTTGGGAACCATTTGGACCGCCTGGCATTGGCATATACTCCTTCACCCACCTTTTCCAGAATAGATCAGCTAATTCTTGTGCCTGGCACCAGCGTTGTCTTGGGTTCAACTCAGTTGTGACTGTTGGTTTGTAGCCATCTGCCGATCCCAATAGTAAATGGTTAGTCGTCAATGCGTCATCGTCTTCTGCCTCTAATGATACAAAGGTCAGGGGGCGGGAGTTAATTACGTATTCTGCACTTAATAAAGCATTCCTTAGGCTTTCGTCGTTGTAGTTGGAGTTCGGAGAAATTGACTTTATAACCAGTTTAATGGAACGAATTAGGCGCTCCCAGGCTCCGCCCATGTGCGGAGCGGCTGGTGGATTGAAGCGCCATTTGATCTGGTCATATTTTATGACAAGTTTCCCGAAGTCAATGTTCTTTAGCTCCTCCTTGACGATCTTCTCTGTCGCTCTGAAATTTGTGCCATTGTCCGAAAATATTTCCTTTGGTGTCCCGCGGCGGGACATAAAGTTAGTTAGGCACATTACACATGAGCTAGTGTCAAGGCTATAGGCTATTTCGATATGGACGGCACGTAGAGTGAGACATGTAAAAATAACGCCCCAGCGCTTCTCCTTATGTCGGCCTACAGTTACCAGTATAGGCCCAAAAAAATCCACTCCAGTGTATGTAAATGGCCTTTCGAAACTAGCGATTCTGGCTGAAGGGAGTGACGCCATCTGTGGTGGTTCCGGGATTGCAGAATTATTCTTGCATATTTGACACGATTTTCGAACCGATTTGTATACGATTCGCAACTGAGGGATAAAGTACATATTTCGTATCAGATTAATGGTGCCCTCGTGAAGCATATGATGGTTTTTCTCGTGAAAGTCCTTTACTACAAGATGTGTGATGTGATTATGCTTTGGCAGTACGATCTGATCCCTGTTTTGATTTATAGAATCCGCCCGCCCTTGAGTACGCATTATTCCTGCATCATCAACGTATACGTTGAAGCCGATTAACGCGCTTGGTTTTGTTATGTTTTGACTTGATTGAAGGGTGTCCAGTTCTGTTTTGAAGCCATCCTGCTGCGCTTTCCTGAAAAGAATGTTTTTTGCCGAAGTTAGTTGCTCAATCGAAAGGTGTCTTGCTATTTTTTCAGCTTTGCATCTAGCTTGAAGAATTCCTACGTATAATAAGAAAGTAGCGGTTGCCCTGTACAAGCGCTTCCAATCCGAAAAACACTCAACGTTTAACGGTATGGCTTTTACGCTGGTCCTTCTCATTACCATAACGGTTCTTCGGATCTCGTCACATTTAACATTTTGAAAGGTGCATACATCGGGTTGTTTGGGCCATTGGTTCCTTGACTGTCGGAGAAAGTGTGGCCCATTTACCCATTCTTCAGGATTGGGCTTGGATGTGAATTTCGTGGCCATATCTGCTACATTTAGCTTCGTTGGAACCCAATGCCATTGACTGGCATTCGTAGTCTCCATGATTTCTCCAACACGGTGCATGACAAAGGCGTAAAAATTTCGCGGATCCATTGTCAGCCATGAAATAACAGTCCTTGAGTCCGTCCAATATATGTGTTCATCGGTCTTTATGTTACGTGTGTTACGGACTTTCTGAGATAAGCGCGCGCCAGTCAAAGCGGCAAGTAGTTTCATTCGGGGTATGGAAAGCGGCTTAAGACGTGCCACTTTGCTTTTTGCTGCGACCAATGATATAGTGATGTCATCTCCTTTTCCTATTCGAAAATAGCAGACGGCTGCATATCCAAACTCGCTGGCATCTACAAAGGTGTGTAGTTCGGTGAAGTCTGCGATATGGAGTAATGGCGAGTAATGTCGTGGGACCTGAACTGTTGCGGCTTGGGAAAGCAAGCTCTTCCATTTTTTCCAAAATAAAAGCTGAGGTGCCGGTAAGACGTCGTCCCATCCTATTCCTGTGCGCCAAATTTCTTGTAGCAGAATTTTTAGGCCTATGGTGAAAAAGGATAAGAATCCCAATGGGTCAAATATAGACATCAACACTTGTAGGGCCTCTCGTTTGGTTGGCATCGCTTCTTCGGAAAGGATGTTTCTTTTCATTCGTGTAAATTTGAAAAAATATTTAAACATGTCGGTTTTCGGTTCCCAAAACATACCAAGGACTTTCTCTGCATCTCCGAGCTCCTTTGCCGGTTGTAGGGTAATCGAGTCGCCCAGCAAATGCTTCAGAACTTCGGGGGAGTTAGATGCCCAATTCCTTATATTGAAGCCTCCTGCGGCGTGTATGTCCCGAACCTCTAAAGAAACCTTGATTGCTTCTGTTTCGTCGGCCAGACTGTCTATGTAGTCGTCGACATAGTGTGCTTCAGTAATAGCCTCAAAGGCTCGGGGACTCTTCAGTTTATACTCCTTCGCGTTCTTATCTCGCACGTAATGAGCAATGCATGGAGCGCAGGATATGCCGAAGGTCATTGCTTTCATAACAAATATCCTTGGAGCTCGGGTTTCTTTGTTAAACCATATAAATCGTTGAGCGTGCGAATCTGCTTCCTGGATACGAATTTGGTGGAACATTTCCGCAATGTCACCGCAAACTGCTATTTTTCCAACCCTGAACGCCATTAAAACTTCAGTAAGGGGATGCAAAAGGTCAGGACCCGTTATCATGAAATCGTTCAGTGACTTTCCGTGAGATTTAGCTGCTGCATCCCATACAAGCCTAACCTTTTCTGGTTTATTTGGGTTGTGAGTTATAAATATCGGAAGGTACCAAACGCGCTCATGCTTTATAGTCATTTCGGCGCTAGACATCTCGACTGCGTAACCCTTCTCAAGTAAATTGTTGATCTGTAGCTCAATCTTGTCATACAAATCAGGTTCCCGGGATATTTTTGATTTCAGACAGTCCAATCTTTTCATTGCGCTACTAAAGCTTTCTGGTAAAATGGGGTTGGTGTGACGCCATAGGAGACCAACTTGATAGTGGCCATCAACTTTTGTGCAAGTACTATCTAATATTTGTAGAGCCTTTTCGTCATCGATGGAACGAAGAGTCCTTGGAGTAACAGAGTCAACATTAAAGCTCTCTTTAACGGTTTTATCGATTTCTTCCCAATTACATTGACAGTGGTGCATAGAGAATGCGGTCTTGGCATTGCCGGAGCCTTGTAGTCCCCAACCGAGTATACACTTCGACGCAATGGGATCGTTCCACTTTCCTTCTCGTAATTTTCGAGGAACAGCAAGCTTCCAATTATTTGTTCCAATCAGAAGCATTGGTTCAGCACTTGAATATGACTTTAAGGGTATTCCATTTAGGTGCGGGTATTTGGCGGTTAACTCACTTACGTTGACGGTTTGTCTTGGTAGGCCCAAATTTTTGACTGTGTGAACGTTATTTAGCCAGTATGATTTTTGGTCGTCTGTTCCTGAGATTTGAATATTGAAGCGCACAGAGTTCCTTTCCATTCTGGTGGTTTGATAAGTCCACTGCATACATATTGGGTCAAGAGTGCCGCGTAAGTTAAAGCGCTTGAAGAATGATTCGTCCATGAGTGTCACCGAAGATCCCTCGTCTAAAAAGGCGAAAGTGTCAATGATAAGATTGCTGCAATGAACTTTTATGGGCACAATTCGAAAATATTGCTCTCCGTCAGGGGACTTGGCTTGGTGAGATGCAACGACATTGTTAGTCTGGCTACCTTTATGGAGCAGAGGGTGATGTCTTGATTCACATCCTCCGATCCCACACGGCCTAGTTGAGAAGCATCTTCTTCCGTGGACTTTAAGGCACTTAAAGCAAAGTCGATTGTCGCGAACAACTAGCTGCTTTTCCTCATAGGGGAGATTACAAAACCCTTCACACTGCGCGACTTGATGCTGTGTACTTTGGCATTTGAAGCAAGGCGTGTTCTCAGAGCTGTGTTCATCCGATTCGGTGTGTTGGGGCCGTCCGGTGTTGTAGCTGGTGTGAGTGTGTACGTTATTTGGTTTTGAGTACGGCGTTGAAACCACGGTGGAGGCTGCTTCGGCGATCTTGTATAACCAATCACTAAAAGCCTTTACGATTCCAGTAGATCCGTCTTTTGGGTGCATTGCCCAAGTCAATTTATATTGATTTGGGAGCTTGTCAACTAACTCCTTTACAAGCATTGGGTTGTTGATGTGAGCGTCGAGTTTGCATGCTTCCATCGTAGCGCAGATGTTGCGAACTGCCAGGGCGTAGTCAATCAGTGAGTCCAGCCTGTCCTTGTTTACGGATATTCTCCTTGCTTTGTCGATTAGGCGATCCAAAATTTGATCAGGGCGGCCGAAAAACGTCTTTAATGTGCTTATGACCTCGGGGACCATTGTTGGCAACAAAAGCTTGTCTCTCACTAGGTCGTACGCCTTTCCTTTCAGACATCTTTGGAGGCGTAACATGTTTTCCACATTCGAGAAGCCAGCCACAGAGGTGCTGTTCTCAAAGGCGCTTATAAAGGCTGGCCACTCGTCTGGATTTCCGTTAAAGGGTGGTAAGTCTGCTGGAAGTATTTGGCGTGCTGATAGCTGGGCGCTGGTTGGACCCATATTGGTATATGGCAGCGTCATGTTCGCGCCGCACTGCTGTGCAAGTATTTCATACTTTTGCTGGATATATTTTTGATCAGCTTCCCGCTTTTCCTCTAACATCTGTAACATAAGAACATTAGTGGATGTGTTGATGATTGGGGCCTTTGAATAATTCAAACTAGTTTTGTCGATCTCAACTTCAGTTACGTTTATTTGCTGCAAGTTGTTTTCCAAGATCTGCATCTGATCCGGATAGTCTTTTATTTGTTTTTTAGGAGCCACTGAGCTAACTTCTAGGCCCTGTGCGGCTGCACCTTGCGGTTCCTTATTGGAGGTGTCTACATCTTTAATAGCGTTATTGGATGTAGTTTGCTTGCAAGTAGGGCAGGCCCAGCCTTTAAGGTTATTGTCACTTTCATCGCGCACGCAAGCAAAATGGTACCAAGTCTTGCAAGTTTCATATTGCACCCAAATAATGTCGTTACCGGGTCGATCTTTTTTGCAAACGCCACATATGGCATTATCGTAATCGCGATTGAACATTTTCGAATTCTTGTAATTGATTTCAAATTGATCTTTTCTTTGACTTGTTGGGCGAAATGTATTCACTTTCGAGAGCTATGCCCCTTCTCACAGCTTTAGTGGTCAGTTTGTTTCAGTTTTATCACGAAAACGATACACATTTAGGCGGCGTCATGTGATCAAAATTCCTTTCTGCGGAACTGTCTTGCTCTTACCTACGCAGTTAAAATTCGCATCGGTATATGGGAATTTTGTATGTATACGAGTACAACTGCGCTGTGTCTTTTCCTTTTGCTAGTGCGGAACTGTACTTTCTTATATATGTATGTATATATATATATATATGCGCAACCAACTAGGAATCACTATATCAGTAGAAAGTTAATGATTTTATTTGTATACGCGGAACTTAATTGTTCGATACGCATATAGTAGTTTATTTTTTCTTCTTTTCACTATAGAGTAATTTCTCTTGCACACGCGGAACTTAGTCGTTCAATACACGTATAATTAAGATTTTTTAAAGAATGTTACAGCCGGCCATTAAAACGAAGCTTCTAACAGCATTTTATTTGAAACGATGGTTAATTTATTTATATTTAAAATATATTCTGGATTATAAAGAGCTTTAAAAAATCTTCTTCTCTTCTCGAGGCTCGTGCTGCAATTGGTTTTCGATAGTTTCCGCTCTTCCTCGATGCACATCGATTGATGTTAAAATGTATCGTTCTTTCCATCGATAATTTTATATAAAAGAATTAATAAGAATTAAATTTTAAATTGCTGTACTGGGGCGGTAACAGTTACCATGCAACAAAGTATGGTGGAATTTATATCTTTCATGAAAGCGACCATGCGAACACTGGTTCAATACCAGAACATGGTGCTCCAGTTGCTTGGAAAACCAACAGATCGCCATCCACACGCACACTAAGTCGAGCCTTGAAGAAAGACGCTTAAAATGCACAAATACGGCACATCGAAAAACCGAAAAAGGCTCAGGGCGGTGACCTAATAACCCCAAAAATGATAATTCAACTTCCAAACTGTGTTATTTATGATATTTGTCTACTCTTCAATGGGATATTACATCTCTGCTACTATCCGAGAAAATGGATAAAATTTACTATCATAATGATACCGAAGCTCGTAAAAGACAACAAAACTCCGTCATCCTACAGACCAATATGTTTATTATCTAACACGCCTAACACCATATCTGCAAGCACACAATGTCTTCCCGGCACATCAATACTGCAGGGCAATATTCCTCGATGTATCTCAATCAAACCACACTTGCCTACATACACTCATAAGCTACTTGAGTCGTTTCTCTATAACAGAGTCTTCGCAGAAAGGTGCAACACAACAACATCTGACGACTATATCATTGAAGCTAAAGTTCCGCAAGGAAGCGCACTTGTCCCTTCTCTGTTCGTCCTATATACAGCGGATATTCATACGAACGAGCAGCAAACAACATATATATTCGCTGACGACACTGCAATCATAAGTCGCTCTAGGTGCCCAAAACTGAGCAACAAAACAATTAGTCAATCACCTCATCGTAGTAACGAAGTTAATCCCCTGCGTCTGGATTACAAGGTCCTGCCATATAACTCCACTCTCTAACCTATCTGGACATTTGTCTCTCAGCTATGGTGGAACGCAACAACATTGATATTAAAGAGCATGCACAATCGGAAATCCTGAAGACTATCGCTGGGGCACCACGGTATTTTCGCAACCATAACATCAACAGGGACATTTCTTACACTAAAAGATGAAATAGACAAACAAAAAGCGACATATAATGAAAAACTCTCTGTCCAACCAAATCATCTCGGAAGAGGCTTCACTCGGGTTTCCAGCAGAACCCGCCTACAACGCAACCCATCAATAATTTTCAGGGCCCCATAACTCAGTTACAGTCATACGACTGCTATTTTGGTTATTACTATAAGATTTGATACACTTATTGTTAGTATCCGAAATGAAAGGATTGAATAAATAAATAGCAAAGCAATTAAAAATAAAAAGATTTCTAGTGATGCATAGGAGAGGATGCCAAAACGTCGTGACAGACGGCCGGCCCCGACAACCAGTACCTTAAATACTAACAAATATAAGAGCATACTTGGTGTGAAATGGCACCATTATGTCGAAAATCATATTTTGTTTCAGGACGCGGGAGTGCCGACGGTTACGGAGACAATTTGTATGTTTTCAAATCGATACAGAGATCGCTTGCTGGATCCCACCGTCTGGCTAGACGCCTGCTACTCCATTGGGTCGACGACGGCACCCAGCGGACCTGTGGATTATTGGTTGTGATAGACTCAGGTGCCTCTTATAACAACACAAGAATACTGACAAGCTTTTTACCTGCCCTGCTCTTA